ATATATAGGAGACACAGCAAGCACCAAGCAGAAATGAGACTACTCTGCCATAGTTTTTACACTCAGGATTCAGCAGCAGGTTGAGTCACACCGTGCTTCAGCAACAGCTTAGTAAGCGAGTCAGAAGAGTGAACATGGTACTTAACACTCCCAGACGAAGTCAAAACACCTCAGAAAGCTCAATCTTCTCTGACGGCAAGCTCGTTTTTTTTCACAAAGCATATAATTTCTTGCTTGTTTCTGATTTGAACTAAAAAATGTTTTATATACAAAGTTCTCAATCCTACAAAAATATAGATGAATAGAATTAAACCACTTATTTGAGTTTTTTCTAGAAAATGTAATATGTGTATTGAATAAGCGTGGACACAAAAGATGTGGATGAGAAAAATGTGGACACGAGTTCATGTGAACACTCACGTCTTTCTCTCCCATTTAGAAAAAAAGACAGATTTTAAACTAAAGCACATCCCTTGAATCTAAAAGACTAGCTAAAGTATTGATCGAAGACACTCAGATCTAGTTCAAGGATTAAAGATGCTCACATCTAGTTGGCTAGTTCCAATGAAATATGGAAGGAGGTTATTTGACAATGGATTTGAAAATTCCAGTGAGATTTTAAGGGTTCTCGAGACGGTGAAACGGTTGCTGAATCCCGAGCTTTTCCACTCTCTGAAACTCCACCGCAGCTTCCCCCACAGTGGATCCCGAACTCATTCATGGCCAATCCCGAATTCATCCACTCTAATACTCCACCTAGTAGATATCTATGTTTAAGGGTTCATATATTTTAAAAGAGGAACATGCATTATTTTTCAATTTAAAGCGAGATCTAAAAATCTAAGATCTTAAGACACTTTTTTTTTACAATGAAATGATAGTACAAAGGGGCAAAATACTAACCTCCAATATTGTTTCTAGATCCTCAGACGTCTTAACACTCTTCACTTTTTTATTTGGTTTCGATTTTGTCATGGTTCATCGCACGTGAATTTCAAAGACAAAAGAGAAACAAAATTGGAGGAAGTGAGAGATATACGAAATAGAAATTAGAGATGTGAATTTGAAAAAGGGGATCTGCGTTCAAATTAAAGTAACCACTTGTGAGATATCTCTGGTTTAGTGAAGTGAGATAATTGGTTAGTTTGAGGGCATGAAAGATAATAAACACTCACAAAGTGCTTGACCAGCATGAAGTGTGTATGTGTGCAATTCATAAGACATAAAGTGTCTTTGAAGGTTAAAAAATTCAAAATTATATTACAGTGGCTTTAGGGTATTGAGCCAGGTTATTACTGGTTAACCTGACTCTTTTTCCTAACTGATCAACATTTAAATATAGTTTCTAGGAATATGTTTAAAAGTGAAATTGTTAAGCTTGGACATCTTAAAGATATTTTGGACCATTATTGCCTCATTGATAATAAAATCCTTATAATGATGAAGTGTCCGCGCTTTTGAAGAATTGCGTGTGATATCACCTATAAATAATATGTTCTTGTTTGACAACCAGTTTAGCTGTTGAACAACTAGCAAGACAGCCATTGCTTCAGTCTTTTATGCCGAATTGTTGGAACAATTCCTAAGCTTCCTTGGATGAATAGGGTGCCTTCTTTTCTATACAAAGACCACCTTATCAGCTTTTCAGTGGATGATTTCCAGGATGCATCAGCAATGCAGTATAGCGCTGTATCTTCACGAATGAAGTCGTAGATGGAAGATGAATGAGTAACTTGAGAAGACAGGTTCGTTATGTTTTACTGCTTCATCCTATAGTTTCTTGTCCATAATAGCTGCATTGATGACGTGAACTATATGTTCTCTTTTGTTGTCAAATGCAGCTTGTTTCTCATTTTCCATATCCTCCAACCAAGATATCATGCTGAGTTGTTTTTTCTAATCTCTTGCATTCTCCTCGATAATTCTGAACAAACGCAAGAGATCAATATTGAGATTAAGGACACTGAGAGATTAGTGTGGGACTGCATCCATATATCTCTAGAAACAGCATATGAGTAATAGTTTCTGGATTTAAAACTAAAAATAAATTTAACAATAAACATCGCTTGATCAAATAATTTACAATTAACAATTAGTTTAATGAGATAGATATATGATATTTTATCATTATTAAATTATTTATTTTCTTAATATTAAATTTTATTTTAAACTTTATGTTTTTATGTTTGTGAAACTAAATATAACCATAATCAAAATATCAAAGCAAATCTAAATTCTCAATTTTAAGATTATATAAAATAAATTTCAGTTTACATTCAATAAATTTAAAGCATAAATATTTTTAGAATTTATAAATATTATAATTATTGTAAATATTGATATGTGTTCATGAACTTCCAAAAATGTACCAACTACTTATACATGCAACCTTCTATTGATCAAAGGATAACTTAAAACATATTAACAAATGAACATAAATATTAACCAACTCTTACAATTTTAGTTCTTTTGTAAAATTTATATAGGTATGAGACTTTTTTTTTTGTCATCGACATACAGACTAAATTAAGACTCTCTAAATCATGCAGGTAGCTCCGTGTCTATGTGAACGACATAAGACGATTGTTTCCTAGCGCTAGGCATGAGACTTTAGAAATAACATATAGAAAATTTACTAGATATAACATATATAAAATTATAGTATAATTAAAGTAATATAATGTTATTAATATAAATGATGCATATAAATTATAAATTAATTTAAAATGAAAATTAAATAGTAATCAATTATTATTATTTATTTACTTTAAAAATATTTATATCTGTGTATGGAAATGGAAAATCACCTAGTATTCAAATAAAGCCTAAAATGATTTCATATTGATGTGGTCACACATGTTTAATATTGTTGAATTACTTCGAAGTTTTACTTTTTTTTAAGTCATACCACTGTACCACTCGGGAGAAGTTATCACGCGGTGTTTATCAATAAGAACACCTCATCTTTTTTTGGTGTAAATAAAGATTCCAATAGTTGATGCATCACCTCATTTTTTTTTAATAAAAAAAGAAAGAAAAAACAAGTAGATACCTGACATCGTATACCTTGCAAGCTACATGTTTTGTTGATTTCCCTGTACATATTGTTCTTTTTCCAATTTATTCGTTGATATCAAATCTTGTCCAGGAGATCATGCATATCCTGTTATCCATAATATATCAATAATGCGTAAAATCAATTACACATCCACAGTTACTTAACCAAACACCAAAAAAACAATGAAGAAATGAATTTCCAAATTGCTTTAGATACCAAAATCGTATTTACCAACAAGTTTAAAACATGTTTCATTTTTTTTTTCAAAAGAGAAAAAAAAATTGTTTCTTAGTTCTAAAGAAAAACATGTTTCTTTTCTTCTCTATAATTAGTTTTAAAATGATGAGATTAGAGTATGATTAATGAAAGGTTCTTGAAGTGATGTTCTTAGCGGAATATAAAAAAATTGTCTTTTAACTTTTAACTAAAAAATTAAGAATCGGTTCTTAAATGTCTTATTTGAGAACCGATTCTTAGTTTTTTTAGTTAAAAGTTATAAAAAAAAAATTTATATTCCGTTAAAAACCTTACCCTAATAACTTCCTCATTAATCATGCTCTTATATTTAAGAACTGGTTTTTAGTTTTTTTTTGTTAAAAATTAAAAAATAGTTTTTATATTCGTTAAAATCCTACTCTGATAAGTGCATGTTTAGAGGGGATCCCTTAACGTAGGAATCTCAAAAAATAGTTTAAAATACGTAGGTCCCATCAAAAACTAAAGGACTGTCCTTTTTGGTGTTTAATTAAGGGACGTACATTGTACTGTTCATGGGTCTTATGATACACATGACAGTCTGCAATTTGCTACTTTTCTTCTTTTTTAAAAACTCACAAAAAAAAAAATGGGTCCCACTTTTTAAGGGACTCCACATTTCTTTCCCTATAAACATACTCTAAGACCATGTTTAACCCTAAAACCCATAAAAATTTCTTAACTTTTTTTTTTGGTTTTTTGTCTATTTAAAAAAAAAAAATTAAAAGCACACCAATCGCGGATCGCTACGTGTCAGTGGGATCCGCATACAGTGCAAAAATATCACAAAGATCGAACCTTAATTAGTGATTTTGGTGATCGGTTTTCTCAAAAAAAGGGCCCCACAGGTTAAAAACCCCCTCTATGACCTGCGATTAACTCCCCCATTAATCATGCTATTACGTTCTTCGGTTCTTGACTATTATTTATTGGATGAAATTCCATAGTCGTGTGATACTTCTTTTGCAATGATTCTTCATTTACATGTTGTCACTTTGTGTATTGTGTATTATACGCAGATATAGTAACTGTACAGATATTATATCAAATTTTACTATATATAATTAATTAATTGTTACATCACAGTATACCAGACCTTGAAGAAAAAAATATCTCCACAAGCAACAGAGTTACTTTCCTTTAATTTTTAATTCACAAATCAAATGTTGTAATCATTTGTGTGATTTTGAGACGCATACTTGGTTAAGAGCCATCTCATTAACAATTTTAAGAGGAAAAAGTATGATATATATTTTGCTAGCATGTACATAAAGACGTGTATATAAACTAAAATTATACACATACACAACTTGGTCAGTAGCGACGCTGTGGGGCACATATTATATGTGCTTCGGTGCATTGTGCATGGCAAATAAAAATTACATTTCTTTTACCCCAAAGTGACTACGTACGTATGTGCATAAAAACAAAATAAGCGTAACCAGATACTGAGATACAAACCTGTTTTATATCGAAAGAGAGTTATACCGTTTTACAGTTTTTTTTCTTCTTCTTAAAATTACATTCACAAAACTCAAACATACCCCCTTTTATTGTACAATAAAACAAGTGATTAAAGGTCGCACACACGTAAATTAACCTCCCATTACCCAAAGAGATTAGCAACCCAACAAATTCTTGAAAGACAGAAGAAAAAAAAAAACACGATAGAAAGACACTTGATTAATCAAGCGGGACATTTGAAGCCAGGTGGTGGAGTCTTTCCACAGTCGATAAGAAGCTCAAGAGCAATGGGGATAATAAGGTCGAGGTTGAGAAGTTTGGCTTTAATGGTGGTACATAGACAAACGGCTGCGTCTAAGTCAACTAAACCTCCCAAAATTGGACAACACTCTTTCTTGGCGTTACTTCCACCAAGCCCGATGTGAATCAAACCTCCGAGAACGTCCACACAAGCGCCTAGCTTCAATGTGTCGATTGGGCAAGTTTCTGGTTTAGGTGGAGTTGGTGTTGGTGGTGGCGGTGGGCATGGTGGAGTTGGTGGTGTTACGACAGGAGGGGTTGGTGTCGGTGGCGTTACGACCGGTGGTGTTGGTGTTGGTGGTGTTACGACAGGAGGGGTTGGTGACGGTGGCGTTACGACCGGTGGTGTTGGTGTTGGTGGTGTTACGACAGGAGGGGTTGGTGTCGGTGGTGTTGGTGGCGTTACGACAGGTGGGGCTGGTGTTGGTGGCGTTACCACTGGTGGAGTTGGTGTTGGTGGGGTTACAACAGGTGGGGTTGGTGTTGGTGTTGGCGGTGGGCACACTGTTGGTGGCGTCACACCGGGTGGAGGCTTGTGGGTAGGTGGTTTAGGGGTGGACGGAGGTGGTTTAACGGTGGGTGGCTTGGTGGGCGGTTTAGGGGTGGAGGGTGGTGGTTTGACTGTGGGTGGTTTGGTGGGTGGTTTAGGGGTGGAGGGTGGTGGTTTGACTGTGGGTGGTTTGGTGGGTGGTTTAGGGGTGGAGGGTGGTGGTTTGACTGTGGGTGGTTTGGTGGGTGGTTTAGGGGTGGAGGGTGGTGGTTTGACTGTGGGTGGTTTGGTGGGTGGTTTAGGGGTGGACGGTGGTGGTTTAACGGTGGGTGGTTTTGTGGGTGGCTTAACGGTGGGTGGTTTGGTGGGTGGCTTAACAGTGGGTGGTTTGGTGGGTGGCTTAACGATGGGTGGCTTGGTGGGCGGTTTAGGGGTGGACGGTGGTGGTTTGGTGGGCGGTTTAGGGGTGGACGGTGGTGGTTTAACGGTGGGTGGTTTGGTGGGCGGTTTAGGGATGGGGTGAGGTTTGGTAGGGGGCTTAGGATGTGGGTGCGGTTTAACGGTGGGAGGTTTAGGGTGTGGATGCGGTTTAACGGTGGGAGGTTTAGGGTGTGGGTGTGGTTTGGTGGGCGGTTTTGGTGGTTTGACAGCAGGTGGTTTAGGCGGTTTGACCGGATGCTTAGGCGGTTTGTGGGGGCTGGGTGATGGTTTAGGAGGACTACAGTCGCAAGCGAAGGAGACGGCAAGGAAGCCGAGGAGGAGGAGGATAAGAAAAGAGAGATTTTGTATGCGAGACCCCATTTTTTAGGATGAGGGTTTGGGTTGTGTAAACAACTTAGTAAGTAGAATATGAGTGTGCACCCTTTTATAGAAAAAGTATTCATAGATATTTATTTGATATGTAATAGTGTCAGCACCAAATTGTGATTAGATGATTGGGATATTAGATTTTATTAAGCACGTATTAGGTCACTTAGTTCCAAAACGAAAATAAAGGGATTTGTCATACTTGCCTAAATTGGCGTATACTGGTAGACGTAGATTCTTAGCTTTTCAGGGAATGTAGGAACATCGTTCGCTATTTATTTTGATATATGTAAAAGGCTAAAGAAATTTTCTCTTTGTGCTCATTAGTCATCGCATGACTGCGTGCCCTACGAACCTATTTGTAATTTTTGTGAAAATGTAACTGGTTAGTTTGAAAAGCATCCGGAAAGCAGGAAATCAAGTAAAATTAATCACTTCCAATCGACCAAATCATAATTAATTACAAAACACATGTTTTAGAAAAAGGTGCATGAGATACTGCATTTTGCAAAGTTTCTGCAAACTTTCGTTACAAGTATGTTCAAAGATTTTTCCATAGTTCGTAATTGTCTATTTAGTCAAAGATTAAAAACGGGCGATAAACATGGTCTTAGCTTCTTGTAACGAGCCATTACTGCCTTTTAAGAAGCATGTCTTATATCTTGCACCTTTTTAACTAAACCTCAGATCAAGTTGCTTATAATATCTAACGCCAACACGTAAAATTGCACCGCCATTGTCAATGTTTAGTCTATAATTATTACGAATGCCTAGTCTTATTTTAACTAATCCTCAGATTAATGTATAGTCTATAAGCATTTTGGTAGCCATTAACTTAAACCCTCGTTATATTATTGGCATAGAAAAGTTTATAAGAAACTTGGGGCATGGTCATATTTTGTCATTTATATGTGAAAACAATGGGAGCAACCAAAGGTTTTGTAGTGTAATGCCCAGTGGGTAGACAATTTATGAAGGGGTTTTGTCATTACTACTTGACTTACGAGACACCTCCCATTTTCTATATAGTTACAAGATATACTAAAAGACATCGTTCTCACTCTTTTTTTTCTTGTTCCTTCCTAGTTAGGTCCACTTTTTTATGAGCATCTTAGGCAAGTTCTCTTGGGTGCTAGTTTATGTCTTTTCCCATACAAACAGGAAAAAGAGTATCAGCTCTTGCTGATATGCACTATTCAACTATTCATATACATAATACATATATTTGATAAGTCCTGAACAAAGTTCCAACTTACGTTCTGGGGTTCCCGATCAAACGTAGTATCTTGGGTTCAAGATTTATACTCCACAAAGCACAACTGATTGTTTTCATCATGCTTCTGTGATTTGTTCGAAACTATTTATTGTATTTTAGTCTCCGCTTGTGAAGATATTACATATCTAGCTTTGAGTAGTGACTGAGTGATGTCCGTGACTAAAGATTTTCGTTGTAGGTTTTTCATATTACATGTGTAAATATAAAAAAAAGTAATACCGGTCATGGTGCGCTTATTCAAATATAATGTAAGTAGGTCAGCATCTACTAATTCTAGTAATATAATCGATGATTCAAAGGACACTAAAGCTGTAAATGCATATATATTCTGAAAGAAGATAAATCTATAATTTAAAAGTTACTTTTTCTTTTACTCCAAGTGATAGACGGATAGTCAAAATTCAAAAATTTAATGTCATATAAAAATATAAGTGAACCATTTCTTTACCTTATTACTTCGACATATAAACACTGTCGAAAATTATAGTCTAACTAGTTTTTTAAATTAGTTTTCAAGATATTGTTGAATTAATATAGATACTGACCAGACTTGGTATGATAAAATCATGAAATTTATAAGTAATTATTTTGTCCTGACGATTTATTGACGGTGAAGAAACTATATTAAGGTGACGGGTAGGATTTGGCGGGTAGTGACACAGTGTAACCCGTGAAGTCTGTCACTTCTAGGATCATTTTTTTTGGGTCAAAGATTTTATTTTATAACAAAAATAAAAGGGAAATGGATAGTGTGAGACTGTAAGTGTGACATTATGAATGAATCTCATGCATGCATGTGACTCCACCATAATAAAAAATAATAATATAAATTACTAATAAAAATACATCAGTTCTCATGAGTTTTTGTCCAACATCTCTAACCATAACACCAAAGAGTCACATTTGAAATTACACCAAATTTTACTATTAAATTGTATTTTATCTTTAACCATCACATAAAATTCTACACTAAAATAATATTTATATTATTACTTTTTTATTTTTGGTAATTTAATACATTAACTATATGTAATAAGCTAATTATATTTATCACATTTAGTTTTTAAATTTATTTATTAAAGTTTGGTAATTTTTTTTTTCTGTTTATTTATATATTTTATTTAGTTGATTTGTAGAATTATATTTATTTTATTTAAATATTAAGGAAAATTATAATTTTATGCATTTAAAATAAAAAACTTTTTTATTTTTGTAACAGTTTAATGTACTGATAATACTGATTTAGTTATATTATTAACTAAAAATATACATACAATAATTTTTTAATGTTTTAGTAATGATAAAATACAAATACAAAAAAATACAAAATATTATGATATATTAATTTTAACTATACGTTAAAACTAATTAATAAAACTATTATATATATAATAAAATAAAATATATTATTTTAATATTTGATATGATGAATAGTGTTATACCAACGGTATCCACACAACACCAAATTTGGTAGAATGGTGCTATATTTTATGTCTTACTAAGATAAAATTACACCAAATTTAATGTTTTGATAAATCCTTTGAGATAGCCTAAGAAATCACTACTCAATCACATGCAGAAAAAAAAGTAAAATGTTGATCAGTTTAAGTCCTCTACATTTCTAAAATGTTACCGATTATTGAGGGCATTACAATCATGACACCAAATTTCGTATTGAAATCATATAAATTTTAGTGTTTTGGTGTCATATATATATATATATTATCATCTCTACCCATAGAACCAAATTTTACACCAAAGATAATATATGTATTGTTTGATGATTTAAGTTTTAATTATTTTTTATTTTAAATTAATAATTAATTATTTTATCACACTTAAATATTATTTTTGTTATTTTAACAACATAACATAAAATTTAATACTCATTTAGTGATTTATTAATTGAAAATAAAATATAAGAATATGTTGATTTTGTGAAAATGAATTTAGAAACAACTAATATAATATATTTGAGTTTAATGACGTATTTAAACAAATATATGATATAATTGAACTATGTTTTTTTATTAACCTGAGTCCTGAGGTTATCTCTGATTTATGGAAGGACATGTTCAGACTAATCTTTAATGGGAGGTGCAATCTATGGATAGACTCCTTTTTTGAGTATTTAAATGGACCGAAAGCAAAAATTCATATCCATATGAGTGTACATGATAAGATGACATAGTTTCGTGCAACATGTGATCGAACCTGAAATGTGTTGGTGTTTCAAACCCTTCTCCTTACCATCCAACCACATGATCCCAAACATAATTGAACTATGTTATTAAATGGAACATAATAAAAATATATTTTAAATTATTTAATATAACACTATTTACATTCCACCAAATTTGAAGAAATATTACTATTTTGATGTTTTATTAGAGATGAAATTACACCAAATTGGTGTTTTGTGTCTTATTGGAGTTGGCGTGAAAATATTAACACAAAATATTAATTGTTATATTACAATATTTTCTTTAAAATTAGCCAAGTAACATTTATAAAAACACATTTAATATTTGATTACTAGAAATCTTATGTTTCAACTTTTAAAAAATCTGTACTCTTCTGGTCTAACCAGCAAGTCGCTTTTATATGAAAACATAAGAATGTGAGATCCCAAAACAGTTTAGAACAAGGATTCTAGTCTCCACCGAAAATAAAAACCAGTAGGCTCGCTCTTATAAATATACGAAGATGAGATTGAACGTCCGTTCGGAAACATCCGACAAAATAGGAGTAGGATACATAGAATATTAGCATGAAACCTGCGTAAGTATGACACACATATCTTTGAAAAGAGAAGTATGACACACATAAATTAAGAAACGAACTAAGAACATGAAACTTAGTCTCCCAAATAATCATTCGATTATTAATCTAATCAGAAATTTTTCTAATTTGGTTCTATTGTTCTACGATTAACACAATGACCTATGAGCATATAACGTTCTTCGGAATTAGGTTTTGAAAATTTTCTTTGTTCAACCCTTCACATTTCTTTTCAATTATATAATTGTGAAGTTGAGACGTACACATTGTAGAATCTTTGTTTGAGACGTACACAATGCACAAGGTTGTAATTATATATATATTATATATATAATATAATATTCTTTTTTGAAAGCTTTTAAGTTAATAAATTTGCAAATGTAAATCTAATATAAATGACCAAACTAATCTTTAATTATTTACTGAATTGAGTATTCAAGTTATAAGTCTTAAAGCATATTCAGAAGCGGAAGCAGGATAACTTTTTAATAGGATCAATTTGATAGCAATTATAATTTACAAGGGTCAATAATTTAGTTCTTTAACATTTCATCAAATTTTAGAAGGAAATTTAAGTAAAATTTTTTTCCATGTCGATCATTTGACCACCTTATTTACATTGTGGCTCCGCCACTGAGCATATTTATGACCAGTGAATCCCATTAGTCATTCACATTTAGAAATGCATAATGCTATGGTTATAAATGAATCTTATTTTTGAGCCAAAAATGGACCTCATGCATGCATGTTACCTCTACCGTTTGCTTTTTTTTTTTTGGATTAAATGTTACTCTACCGTTTGTTTCATTGCGAATTTCTTTTCGTAGCCGCATCATAATTCAAAAACTAAATATAACATAAAAATATGTGGTCGTCTGAGTACTTGAGTACTCCTCGTGAAGACACGTTGTTGGTCCACCAATAGAAAAGACCAAGGGCAATAAAAACGATATCGATTTTGAT